CCTGTGAGACCTTGTTCAATAAACCATTCTTCACTGTCTTCTCCACATCTGACGTGCACCTGTTGTTTCCTGCCCCAGCCGCTTTTGTTCCCAAACCCACTTCAGAGGCTAAATAAACGTTTATATTTAGAAATGCTGTCTCGGTCCTGCCTCAGAAATTTAAATTCTGGGGACTCCTGAGGAAGACGACCAGAAGAAACTGCAAGTTTCTGGAGAAGGGGCAGTGGTGGTCGCATTACAGAGAACGTTTATTCCACTAGGACATTTCTCTGGCAAGAGGGGAGGGGAGTGGGGCACCAGAGTTTCTCGATGGTCAAAAATCATGCCTCCAAAGATGGCAGTTTCTCTCTGGAACAGACTTCATCGCGAAGGACCGCAGAGGCCACCGACAGCCCCTCACATTCTGTGCTCTGTGACATGCCCATCCGGGGCACGGGTCAGCAAAATAAATTCACCGCGGGTGTGTTTACATCCTGGAAATTCGCTCACCTCCCAAGGCAAAGTGTACCCGAAAGGAAGAGCTATTTCTGACTCCATTTCCTCCTGTGCCCCCCCACTCACCACGGCGAGAGCAGCCATTCACCACGGCGGCCCGTGTCGCTGGCCGCGCGGTGTAGTGGCCGGGACCCTTCACTTCCGGGTGACTGAACCCAGGCCAGGCTGGTTCGGGCAACGCCAGGAGCCCTCAAACAGAGCCGAGATCAGGCCCACAGAGGGGAACCGCTGGATGGTTCGGGGCTGACGGCGCCCCGCCTAATAATCGTGATTCCTCCACCTACGCCCAAACCACACTCGCGTCCCCCGACCCCATCCTGAAGGGAGGCGGCTCGGTTACATGCGGCCCCTGCTCCCGTCCCACATCCGAGGCCTCCAGACCTCTCACGGTTCGGCAGCTGGTGCCTAAGAGAGCCCTGGAAATTGGGGTGGAAAGTAGTCTACACGGGGGGGGGGGGGGGGGGTGAGGAGGACCACAACTGAGGCTCCCTTCGGAGGCCACGAATGCATCGGGCAGGACCCGCGCAGCTAGACAGCGACCCGTGAGCTCCCCGTCCTGCCGAGGAGGCAAAGCCTCGCTCGCCCTGCCGCGCTCCGACCTCGGGGTCAGCCGTCCCCATGGGCACACCTGACCTGGACGTTGGAAGGGCTCTCCTTTGGGGTGACGCCACTTGGGCACTCCTTCCTGAGTGTGCACGTCCTGGAGGCCCGGCACTGATGACCTTGGGGCCGAGCGACCGCAGGCTTTTGCTGGCCAGCGAGGGACTTGGCGACACGATTTCTGAGAGTGCTCAGAAGGCTCGTGGTCGATCCGCTTCCATCAACAGCGTGAGCGACAGAGCCTCTGACTCCCAGCCAGCTGCTTTTCCTCTATGAGTTTTGCAAACCTGGTTCGCTTTTTGGGATGAAAACCGTGAATGGGCTGTGCCTCAGTTCCTGCCTGATACGGACACACCGTCCAACACCACGGCCCGGGCTGGTGGGGTCAGAGCGGCCTCCCCTGGTGTGAGCAGGCCCCCGTCCAGGCCACGCTCTCGGACCCCGGCTGCAGAGAGGCCTCCACGCCCCACAAACACCCGCCCTGCGTGCGCACCAGTCTGCCCCAAAGCTTTCTTCGTACCACTTCACCCATCCCCGGGGGTCCCCCTTCTCTGGCCTCACACCTGTATAATAGGTGTAACTCGTGTCTATATGCTTTCGCTTTGGCCTTCCAAATACAAAATCTTTATGGGAGGAACGCTACAGGAATTAGGTTCAACATAGAGACAAGACCCATGCAGTTCTCACTCACATACAAGAAGTGTGGCAGGTACAGGGAGGGGGTTGTCCAGGAGCTTCGTGGAGACCACGGAGATGCGAGGAGTAGGCTTCCAACCTCGTGGCCCAGGCTGGCTGCTAGAGCTCCACCCATCAGGTCCACCCTCCAGGCCAGCAGCAGGAGGAAAAAGACAGGCATCCATGTTTTAAAGGAAACTTTCTGGAAACTCCAGTTAATATTTGTATGTCTTTCGCCCAAGCTTGGTCACATCACTAAGGTCAACTGCAGAGGAGGCTGGAGAATGTGGTCACACTTGCAGGGGCACATTTGGGCACAATGCGTCACCCAGATGGCGCGGGGATTCTGTTAGTAGGGCAGGAGACAGGAAACTGATGTTTATAAGCATCAAGCAGTGGCTTCTACAAATGCCAAGAGAGTCTGAGGTCTAACGTTCAAGATTAGATTACACGACAGAAGGGTTGGGACTTGGGCAAGTGGAAGCCTCGGGCACAAAACTTGAAGGTGCCCAAAAAACTCAGTAATCGAGACAGAGAGGTACTTAATAACATTTTTAGAAATCAAAATTAATGCAGAAAAATCCATAATGAACAAAGTGTTAAAATTTTAAACCGGGATCAATACAAGTTAAAAGTCCTGCCAGCCTAGGTATTATCTTTAGAACAAACTCCGAGTCCTGCAAGCACATGCCCAACCCGCCGTGCCGGCTGCGTCCCCAGCGCCTTCCCTTAGCGGGGAGGACGAACTCAGTCGGGGTCAGAAGAAACCACGAGAATCCAAGTTCTCCATTCCATAAAGGATTGTCGGACACAGAAGGGGGGGCGCAAGGTGCTTAGATGTGCCTCAATTTCCTCTCTAGCCCCCCTGCCCAAAGCTTAATTTCCCCCACGCCACCCTCCGCTATCACGGGGCGTAGACGTGGAGCTGGGAGCCAGCAGTGTGGCCCTCGTGCCTGTGCCAGAGGCCGGAGTTCAGGGGATCGAGGCCACCTGCCAACACAGAGCCACCGGAAACCAACCACCAGAAACAGTCCCTGGGGCCAAGGACGGCCCCTGGGTCACAGATGTCAACCTCCGGTACAAGGTCAGCATCCCGGGCAGCGGGTAAAGGCCACACCGGCCGACGGAACGGAACGCTGCCGACCGGGTGTTGCCAAGGGTCAGCTTGCGGCTGGAGGGCGCCCTTCCTCTCCCCTCAGGGACACGGGCCTCCCTCCTTCCGAACACCTGGAAACCACCTGAGGGAGGAAAGCAGGGCAAGGTACGTGCGTTAACGGAGGGGCCTTCAAGCAGAGCGGACCCAGAGCTGAGTCGGCTGGTGACAGCGGCCCGCGGCCCCTCCCCCCCCGCACACCTGGCGTGGCTGGGCCCCCAGCTGGGCTGCCGCTTCCAGGTGGGCTCAGGAAGCCTCACGCGCACTCGTCCGCGCTCCCCCCGCCCCGGCAGGAAGGTGACCGGAGCCACCGTGGCCACGTGGGCCAGACCCCCAAGTGACACGTGGAGGGGGCCGCGGCCGGGGTACCCGAGTGCCTGAAGCACAACCCCCCGTGACTGTCCTGGGAACCAGAAATACACTTGGTTTGAGCCACTGCACCCCAAGGCTTACTTGTTTAGGCAGCTCGCCAGCTCACCAGGAGAGATGGCATCAGCCAGACCGCGGAGAGCACGGGGGTCTTGGCGGACGAATTCCGAGCCGGGAGCCGCTCCGGTTTAGAACGACTGCTCTGCCCTCTGCACACACCGCGTCAGCAAGTCTTGCGATCGGATTATACTCGAGCCCTCCCCCTCGTTGCCCTCCCGGGAACCGGGAGAGGACAGAGTGACCTTGACCTTGGAGAGGCCACTCCCTTGGCATAAAGGTGCTGGGAGTAAACAGAAGAGCTTGTGGTCTAGTTTTATATGAAAGATTTAGGAGGATGAGACTATTTGCTTCAATGACCCTCCCTCAGTAGGCTGGGCCAGGCTGCCTGTGATGAAGTCTGAACCTCTGCCCTACCCGCGCCCCGCCTCCTGGCTGGGTTCTTCATTCCACAGATCCGACTGGCCACACCTCCATTTTGCTTTTCAGCCACGCCAACTTACTTCCAGAGTAGCTAAGATACAAAATCCTGAATCCAGTTTGGAAAGATCTGGGCGACGAGGAATGACGACAAGAAATCTGACAATGGCAGGTTTTATTTATACACAGAACAACCTATTTACAACCCCAGGTTGGGTCTGTACACAGCAATACAGGAGGCATTTGCTTCCACGGCGGGCACCGTATAAATTAAGATCATAAATATGAGGGGTAAGCCCCGCCCGAGGGCACAAAACCTTTTGTCCAAGACTCCCCAGGACCCTTCCTCCCTCCCTCCACGCTGACGGGACCGGGGTCCCCGCGGGACAGCGCCCAGCCTCGGCAGGGACGTCGGGGGGGCAGGCAGAGGAGCGGCCTCACGGGAACCAACACGGCCACCGCAGCAGATGCGGCACCGGCCGGACGCCAACACGCTTCCATGCAACACTCACGTTTACTCCATTCGCCTCTAACTTACTAGAATCAGAAAAACGGTTTTTTACGTAAACAGTGTTGTTTTAATCACTGACGACATACTAATTCTAAACACCATGCTTCACCCAGCCCTCGGGCTTTCCCAAGGGAGGGCGCGGAGGGTACGGGACGGCCCCACAGCATCAGCACCGGCCGCCGCTCCCCTCCTCACCAAGCACGCGCCTGTCCCCGGCTCGCCCCGAGGACCTCAGAGCCCAGGATCCGGCCAGAGGTGACAGAGCAGACGCCGTTCTGGTACCGCGGGCTCAGGACCCCACGGTCTCCTTTGTCAGCCTGCTCTACCTTGAAAGCCGGTGACTTCCAGTGGCCAGATGATCCCTCTCTGCCTTCCCGGTTCCAAAGCAGCCGTCTGATGGCACAGCGGGCATCGGGGTGGGGAAGGCCACGCACAACAGCTGAGCACGCTGCAGAGCACAGGGCCCCCCGCCCCCCCAGCCCCACCCTGCCCTGTCGCCGCCACCACACCCTCAGGGACAGGAGCAGGCCAGGTGCCCGCCAGGGCCCCAGCAGGAGTGCCCCCAAACTGGCAGCAGAGGCCCGGCCGGGCTCACGGGGGGCGGGGGTGGAGGGGCCACCGTGCACCCCAGTGAGGGGGAGGGGCTTGCAGAGGGAGCAGCAGGCAGATGCTCTTCAGCGCCCCAAAGGTTCCCCCCCTTTGAGGTTCCCCCAAGGGTGGCCGGATGACACCTGCAGCCCACCCCCCCCCCCCGTCCCCTCACTAGGATGAGGGGTGAAGCGAGCTACAGGGTAGGGGCGCGGGGGCCCGGCTCGCAGCTGGGCCAGGTTACAGAGCCCTGCAGGGTGGGCTGTGGGGGCGACGGGGGAGACGGGGAGGGCCGGGGACGTGGGCGAGAGCGGCCCGAGGCAGACAGCCGCCCACAGGGCCAGAGACGGTCGGTGGAGACGGTCCCCCAGGGCGGGGCGAGGCATCGCCCCAGCGCCCGGGACGCACTCGCGCTCACCAACACCGAGCTCACGCAAACACACCCTCTGTCTGAGGGGACACGGGAGGCTACGGCATCTCGGGGACAGAGGGACCACGTGCCCACGCCAGCAGCTCAAGAGGAGAGCGCCACGCGGACTAGGCCAAAGGCAACCAGAGAGGGGATCTGTCCGCCCGAGATCGTCACCGTCCGTCCGCTCGGCTCGAGGAGGGCGAGCGCGCTTCGTCCTTCGTCTCCGCGCACCGAGAACACAGGCGGGACGGCAGCGCGTCCAGGCCGCTTTCAAAGCAGGAGAGGCGGCGTCTCGGCCAAAGACTCCGCAATACCCGGGGGACATCAGGCGGGGGCCTTGCGAGGCTGCCGCGGAGAACCAGGGTGGCCCGCGGACATGGAACTTGCCGGCGCGGGAGGCTGCCGGCCAGGCCGGGGTCCGCACGCCCGGGGGAGGCCACGCGGCGCGCGGTCACGGGGCTCGCAGCGGGGACCCGCGGGATGAGCTCGCGTGGCCCAGGCGGGCCGCCTCCACGGGACAACCCGGCGCCCGGAGGCCGGGCCCGGCCCGGGTCCCGGGTCGGCAGGAGCGGAGAGGTGGTGGCGGTCCGCCCCACGCGGTGTCGGGGCCGGACGAGGTGTCGTTTCGAAGGTAGCTGTGTTGGTGTGCGCGAGACCCCGGGACGGTCACGGAACGGGCGTCCGCGAGGCTTCCCGTCCGGAGCAGGGGGAGTAGCACCATGAGAAGGGGCAGCGGGTCCCCGGCCTCAGTCGCGGGGCGAGCGGGGGACGCAGGCCGACAGGGCCACGGCTAGGCCTCGGTGGCAGGAGCGCTCCGGCTCAGCTCCTTGATGCCACACAGGATCCGCTTCACGTGGCCCACCTTGGTCACGCCGAGGTCCTGCAACGAGAGGACAGCACCCTGACGCCGGGCAGGGAGCCGGGCCCCCGCGGGCCTTCCCGCCCGATCTTCCGAACACAAACGCGGTGAGGACGAAGACGGTGACGCGAGGTGAAAACGACACACACAGCCGTGCAGACGCCCGCCACACCCCTCCCGCGCGAGCCACAGTCACCGGCGCCTTCGTGCCAGACAGATACAGACCCCGCCCGGCAGCAGGTGAAGGCAGGTGACTCGAGAGCGCGGCCGTGAGGACGTCCCGGGGAGCCTTTCGCCCTCGCGGGGGGGGGGGGGGGGGGGGGGGGGGGGGGGGGGGGGG